ACACCCATCATATTTCTTTAGGTTATAATATCATGCAGAAAAGGATACCATTTTGTTAATCCAACTAAGTGTTTCTCTTTTTGCCTACCATCCTACTAAAGGAGAAAACATGGCTCCTTAGACAAAGCATTTTATTTGGAATCAGAGGACGTAGGATCGAATCCAAGCTCTGCCATTTACTACCTGCATGTCCTCAGAAGAGCCTCGGGTGTAAAATGAGAGTGTTTGGTTAGATGACACGTAAGGTCCCTTCTAGTACTAAATCTATGATACTTTAACTTTTTTTTTTAATAATGGCACATACTCCTATACATTACAAGCAAATTTCTTTCATTATCTTTCATTCCTCTCTCTAACATGCCTATTTTATGTTAAAATTTAGCAGGAAAGTTCTACAAAATACATAGGATATTTTAGTATGAAACTTTTATACTAGCATGCTGTAGTATTTAAAAGATTTTGTCTGTTTTGTTATTGGGTTTTTCTGGGATTATGCCACATACTTTTATAACAAATGGAAATAGTTTTGAATGAAATAAGCTAGTAAAAATTCACTCAGAGATTATGAAGCAAGATATCAAATTATTGCCTTTTTTTAAAGTTCTGCCTTTTGCACCCTAAGCATATGAAGATAATTCAAGCATCTCCATAATGGAGACAAACTACAATTCCCCCCATATCTGATGTGAGCAGAGACTTACAGTCCACCTTTAAGCAGAAAAATTATTCCCATTTTTTCTGTTTTAGATTGTATGGATCTAGTAGATTAAAAGTAATTCTCCAGGTACTTAAATGACTAAAACTTTACTTGTCCGTTTTTTATTCAGTTTGGGGTGACTCAGCTTATATCAGTTATTATCCTTTGGCACCTTGATAATTTCAGATAGCAACATTAAATATTGATTGCTGACCCTGAGTCTGTGTTCAAGGAGACAGAATTTGGAAACTAGTGCAGATGTTCTTATTTTCACCATTCAGCATGTCTGCCAATTAGACTGATAGTTTTATTATTCAATCATTGCCACTTGACTATACTTTCTTTTGATAACTGGTAGCTTCGTCATGCCTAATATTCCTTTCTGTTCACATTTCAAACATGTTTTGCACATCTTCCCTTGCACAATGGAATCATTATTTTTGAAATAAAATAAAGCATTACGGGGAGAGGGTGGGGAGAAGGAAATTTAAAACTCAAAATCTTATGGAAGTGAATGTTGAAAACCAAAAATAAATAAATTGTTTTTTTTTTAAAAAAAAAGCATTGCATGGTAAATCTGGATATAAAAGACCTGCAATATTAATGATATCTTTTAAATAATAGGCCATAGAGTTAAAGAATGGCAGCTAGGTGGCACAGTGGATACAGTGCTGGGCCTGGAAAGATCAGAGTTCAAATTCAACCTCAGACACTTACTAGCTGTGTGACCCTGGACAAGTCACTTAACTCTTTTTGCCTCAGTTTCCTCATCTATAAAATGAGCTGGAGAAGGAAATGGCAAATCACTCTAGTATCTTTGCCAAGAAAATCCCAAATGGGGTCATGAAGAGTATGACTCAACTGAAACAACTCAACCTCAACAAAAAGGGTTAAAGAATGAATAACTTAAAGTGAAGAAGAAAAGGGTAAAAAAAAAAAAAGGTAAAGAAAGCCTTTCTATGAATAGTCAAACATATGGGTGGATCCTTTTCCCTCCCAAAACATGTCACATTTATAAATATGATAAAAATCAATATAAAAATATCCATAAAAACAAGAAAGCAACATTTCTCCCTACCAACTTTCCTGTTAATTTACTAGTCCCTATAAGGATTTATTACTCTTCCTTGTTTCCCTTCTACTTCTCTTTTAATATATTGAAAACTTGCTGAAATTTAAAATTTTTGTACCTGAGGGGACAGAGTATAAGGATAAATAAGTTGATATTACAGACAACTCTCCACTATCTTAAAGAGGAAAGCACAGCCAGTATTAAAAACAACTTATACTGGACTGAGATTCCATCAGAAATACACTAGTTTCACACACAGAGATACACACATAGAGCTTGGCTCTGATCTCCTTTTGGCTCAGTTTTGCTATTGGTGTGCCAGAATCCCATTGGGTGGGAAAACAAGGGTATAAGCCACTCCTGTATAGTTGAGAAGAGATCAGCTTCTACTTACCTAATAGTATGTCAACTAAGATGATAGAAGAATGTCTAAGTTTATTGGAGGAATAAGGTTTACACCGAAAGAAAGTTAATTATAGGGCTTCTCCCTTTTTACAGTCAATGATTTATTGAGGGGGATGGAGGAGGAGAACTTAAATCCTTCATCCTTCCCAATTCCTAGACACAAAATCAGATGCTCTGTACTGGTCACTTACTGTCTCATGAAAAGTGCTCAAGAAGGTCAAAAAGGATATACTAGTACACCTAGAAATTTGAGACAAGATAATTCTACTAATTATACAGTAACTGTCACTGTACACCCAACTTCCTGGGGTGTGATAGTGGCAATTCATACTGGAGAGCCAATTGTTAAATTTTTAGTGTGAACATCTACACCTCAGAAATCAGCAAACACTACAAATCAGAGCTTGATTCAATGTTTTGTTGATTGTTTGGACTAAAGAAAGTGATGGGAAAATGTTTATAATAGAGATTAAATTTTAAAATTCTGCTATGCTTTCATTCTTGTGCCCCAGACCCCTCCCAAGAAAGCCAGTTGTTAAATATTTACCAACACAAGTCAGTCTACCCCTGATCCTCAACAGCAGTTTCCAGGCCCAACTCTTGAAGTCATACAAAGAAGCAATTCTGAGGCTGTCTGAAGAGACTAAGTGTTGTCTTCCCTATTATAAAGTGAGCTCCTAGAATGTAGGAAAGGTCTTGGGCTTTTCTATTCTTATTCCTACCACTTAACACAGTGCTTTGTATATAGTAAGTACTTAAATGTACTTAAATTCATTCATTCATTCACAATACTTGATGGAATTCACAAGTGGGGTAAAGGGAAACTCTCACCTAAGAGTAAATGTTACTTGAATCTATCACACCAAACTGGAAGGATTGAGCTGAGGAATGTGCCACATATGCCAGAATACATTTTTTTTTAAATATGAGAGGAAATTATTACCAGGGTTGAACTAATTTTACAAAGTGGGTAGGGAAAATCCCCATGACACTGTACCACAAGAATGGCTTGGAAGGCAGGGCCTATGTTTTTGCCTTTCTTTGCATTCTCAGAGTTTAGGACAGTCTCTAACACATAGTATTTCAATGCTGATTGATTGAATGATTTACTTAGAGATCTAGCATAGATAGAATTGGTTACCGCCTACTGCCTAGGTCCTGAGATTTCAGAGGAGGCCCTCTCCCCACAACCTCTGGTGTTTGCCCACTAAATACTTTGCCTATTGCTCTGGCTAGAATATCAATAGAATATCTATAAAAGGCAACAAAGCCTTTCTCTTCATAATTAGAGGTAAGATTTGAAGGACAAATACCCTTGGGATTCTCATACTTTCCCTAGAAATCACACTAACTTGTAGATAACTGATATCTGATCCTTTTTTGAGAGGTTTAACAGGGAAAGGTTAGAGTTTGAGACACCACTAGGTGGATAGGTTACTTAGCTTTCATAATCTTGCTCAGAAATTGTTCTACCATACCTCTAGGCAGAATCTCAGGAACACTAAGTTACTGCCATTTCCTTTACCACCCTGGAAAAATGCAAAAAGGCAAATTTCTCCATAGATCATTAGTTTAACATCAATTTTCCTTTTGAGGCCTTAACATTGGGTGTTATTTTTCTTAGCCAAATTGAGTGATGCACTCAGAATTATCTACACATACAAAGTAGCCAGATTAAGACACCCATTGTTCTATTCCATTTTAATCTTATTCAATCTAGTACAGCCTAGCCTATAAGGGAGAGCAAAGATTAAATTGCCATATTCAACAACTGTCTTCAGCATTAGGCTTTATAACAGCAATGTCAGCATATTTATTTTCCCCATATAAAGACTTTCCAATTCACACTGTGTACCCTGTGACAATTATGGACAGTATGTATTCAGAAAGAGTGCTGGACAAGTTTGGAAAAGCAGCTAGTAAGAACAGAGCCAAGAGGTCATTTTATAAAACAAAAAGCAAAATCTATACATGGTCAAAATGTGCAAGGAAATTAAACTGGTCATTCTCAAGCAGTTTGCTTCTCTATTCCCTCATCCAAAAGAAGCACAAAAATCCTTAAAATATAGATTAGTGGATTAAAAAAAAACCTACTCCCCCCCAGATTACAATATAATCAAACCTTTGTAGTAATTTAGCAAATACCAGTTTTATTATTTTTTCTTCCTGAGGGATTAGATAAGGGAATATGCTAGGAATTACTAATTACACTTATTAGAAAATAAATTCTTTTGGTAAAGCACTTTCCAACAAAAGCTGTGTATTTTCACAAGTATCTACTATATACTAGGTACTATTTTTGCTCCCCAATTTTTTTAAGATTAGCTAAGAAATTATCTTTGATAGTTGCTCTATGTACTTATTAAACAGCATATTCTTGCTATGTAAGTTAGGAAGTATAATGCAAGAGAAATGACAAAGTTTTTCTGACGTATCAAACCCACCTAACAATAACATACTTTCTCCCACAACACACTGGAAAGATGACATTCTTTGTTTTCAGTATCCTAAAGTATCAGACTACTGATATTTTAATTAAACAAACTGTGTTAGAAGTGGGTAAGCATGTGTATGTCTGGGGAAAGAGCAAAAGGTAGAGAAGATTAATTTAAAATGGACTGGGGACATTACAAAAGACATCAAAACTAAAGAGATTTCTTTCAATGGCTTAAAACATGAAATCCAAATGTCTCTAGAAGGATAGAGGAATGTTACTCTCAAGATACTCAAAGCCCAAATTATTTCATTTTTCCTTTCTTCAAAGAAGAATTCCAAATTAACTTTCATAGTTAAGAGTTGCACCTGAAAACAAAGCTTTCTACTTACCCTAGTGTATGCACCATCATCTCCTAAATCACCTTAATTCCAATGTATCCAGAATGTGTATGGATACAAAAAAGGAGAAAATATAGTCTAGGACAAAATTTGACCAAAGAGTTAATTACAACAGAGATCAAAACAGAACTCTCTGAAATGCTAGGGAGCAAGATGAACTTAATCCCTGCCTCCAGAGCCTGGTATATACTGTGTCTATCTTTAACTTGTAAATGATTTGGTTTCACATTCCATTGAAGTCCCACTGGCAGATGCCTTTGGTGAACTCACCAATCACAAGCTTTCATGTCCCCTCCCTTTCTCCCCCAGTCCTGGCTGTGCTTCCGTTCTGATATCTAATACAGATTTACTCAGCTGTCTTTTTACCTGTCCCTGCATGGATGAAAGAGGATGCTTTCATTGATGGCTATTACTGAAAGGCTGGGAACGAAAGACCAGGCTGAGAAATCACTCTGCTACTCCCCTCCTTCTGCCCTCCCTTCCCCCACCCTCTCCTCTCCTAGCCAGAAATCAAACTAACTTCCAAACTTGGCTGCCCAGGAAGGAATGTTCTCTGATTGCCATTCCTGCAAGTGGAAAGCAATGGAGAACAGCTCCTGTACTTTCTTCTTCACTAGTAATCTCCCAGGTATATACAACACAAACGTGTTGGGTGACTGCCTTTTTTTTTCCTATGGGGAGATGGGTATAAATATAGGGTGTAAGACATTATGTGGGAGCACAATGGGTTTTTTAATTTCACAAATGAAGTTCTTTTATCCCAAAATAAAATTTTGTTAAAAAAAAAGGCAACATTTTTCTTGAGAATTAAAATGAAATTTAGGAAATGAGCTTTTAGAACCCATCAAAGGGAGAAAACCACACAGTTCAAGGTTAACAATATAGTCAGAGAAAAGCTTGCTTAGATGAATTGTGGATACAAGGATTTAAATCACTCTTTGAATTAAGTCCCCAGGCACAGATTATCCATAGCGTTTCCCAATGAAGCTTGTATAAGAAGGACAAAAGAAACCTGTGCTGCTTTTCACTGGTCTCAGAACCAATTTTGTCAGGGACTGTGATTGGGAAAGAGTTATTATGCTTAAGGAAAAAGATCAGGAGGAAAGGAAATAGGAGTAGGGATGGGAGATGAGAAAATGAGATGACTTTACTAGGCATCACATTAACATCAAAGAAACTTTCCCTGCAAAGTTCATGTCTATTCTCCTACAATTTTTCTTTAGTGTGTTTATTTATTTTGATGTCAGGATATATGAACTACTTGTAAACTGCCTATCCAGCACTTAGCACAGTGCCTAGCACATAGTAGGCACTTAATAAATATTTATTGACTGACTGGTCTATTGATCATTTATTTATTGACTGATTTACTCCTCATATTGCTTATGCAATCTATCTACCTATCTAGATGGATTTTAGTTCAGCAAAAGGAAAAAAAAAATATGACAAAAGTAACAGTAGGCAGTTCATTACTCCCTTGGTACTCACGTAATGTCAAGTGAACTAAAGGGAAGCTCCCAGTACATCAGGTGAAGCCTTTGTGGTGGATTTATGGGACAACATGAGAGTTACACAGAATAGACATGCATGGGTGGGTTGTGATTTGTACCGCTGGAGGGAGTAACCACTATGTGGATGACATCAGACATCCAATAACACCTCCATAACAATTAGAACCAGACAGGCGTAGAATGGGCTGCATACAATTATAGTGACTTTCTAGATAAAACATAGCTCCTTGAGTATAGACTGAAAAACTACTTGTTAAGGGTGGGGTGCTAGGTGGTGCAGTGGATAGAGCACAGGGCCTGGAGTCAGAAAGAACAGAGTTAAAATTCAGCCTCAGATACTTGCTAGCTGTGTTAACCTGGGCAAGTCACAACCTCTGCCTTGGTTTCCTTAACTGCAAAATGAGGATAACAATAGCACCTACCTCAAAGGGATGCTGTGAGCATCAAATGAGATAATATTTGTAAAGTGCTTATCAAAGTGTCTAACATATAGTAGCTGCTTTTACTAGCTGTTATTAATATAATCATTATTAATAATCAATAATAATTATTATCATTATAATGTTAGACATTTTCTCCTCTTTCCCCCATCTTGACCCATTGGTGAACTTTATACATTCTTCCTTTCTTGAATCCTTAGTTCTTTTATTATTATTATTATTATTATTCAGACTATGCCCTGCCAAATCTAGGCCTTGGATCACTCCCACCATCCTCTGCCTTTGGTCCTACCCATGTGCTGCTGAATAAAGATGGAGAAAACCACACAACTGCCCTGATGGAGTCCACTACAAATTTATTACACAACCTCAACTGGGCCCTCACTGCTGCTAGATAATCCCATCATAGCTCCCTTATTATCTCACTATCCCACTCTCCATTGCAGCTCTTCCAAATTTTTTAACCTTCCTCAAACCTCCCATAGCTTCCATTCCTCCCACCCTCTCAGCTAGGAATCTTATCTCACATTTCACAGAAAAAAAAATTGGAGCCATTCACTATAATCACCCTCTTTTCCTCCATTCCTAATTTCATATCACTCATCTGCATTAGGCCATTATTTTTTCCACCCTTGTCTTATGTGATGAAGTGGCTTTACTTCTTACTAACACTAACCCCTCTACTTACTAAAATGATCCCAATCTCAATAGATTGCCCCCCTGTCTTTCCTACCCTTTTATTTATTTATTTATTTTTGCTGAGGCAATTGGGGTTGCCCAGTGTCACACAGTCTGAGGCCGTATTTGAACTCAGGTCCTCCTGACTCTTGGGTTAGTGCTCTATCCAATGCGCCACCTATCTGCCCCTCTTTCACTTATTTTCAATCCCTCCTGCCCCACTCCAGCCATCTCCTTTACTGCCTACACCCAGTCCCAGGTCCCTCCCCCCATCCTCAAAACTCCCTCCCTTGATCCTTCTGTTCCTGCTATCTATCATTCTATATCTCTTCTGCCTTTTGTGATTAGACTTTTTGAAAAGGCTATCTCAATAGGTGCCTCTACTTTCTCTCCTCTCACTCTTCTTAACCCCTTACAGCTGGCTTCTGACCTTACATTCCACTCAAACTGTTCTCTCCAAAGTTAGCAGTGATTTCTTAATTGCCAAATCTAATGGTCTTTTCTTAATCCTCATTCTCATCAGCTTCTCTACAGCCTTTGAAACTGTTGGTCACTGTCTCCTCCCTGATACACTCTTATCTCTAGGTTTTTGGAGCACCACTCTCTCCTGGTTCTTCTCCCTCCTATCTGACCACTCTTCAGTCTCCTTTGTTAGGTCCTTCTCTAGTTTACCCTTCCCCCAAACCATAGGTGTCCCAAAGGGTTCTGTCCTGGACCTTCTTCTCTTCTCCCTCTATACCACTTCATTAGCTCTTATGGAATTAACTTCCATCTCTATTTTGATGATTCTCCAATCTACCTATCCTGCGCTGACCTCTGCTGCCTTTAATCCTGCATCTCCAACTGCTTTTCAGGAATCCCAAACTGGACATCCAGTAGGCATCTTAAACTCAATATGCCCAGAACTGAATTCATTATCTCTCTCCCCAAATCTGCAGCCTCAAGGCCACATGTGGCTTTCTACGTCAAGTACGGTTCTTTGACTGAATCCAAAATTCATAGAACAAAAGGATTTGGAAGTTTGAAGTTTGGATTCAATCAAAGGACAGAACTTGAGGACCTAGAGGGCCACATGTGGCCTTGAGGCCGCAGGTTCCCCATCCCTGCCCTACTCCTACCTTTCTTATTACTGTAGAGGGCAACATCATCCTCCGAGTCCTTGAGGCTCACAACCTAGGTGTCATCCTCAACTTCTCACGATGTCTTATCCCCCTGCCCTCCCATATCCAGTCTGTTGCCAATGCCTGTTGATTTCACCTTTGCCAGATACATCCCTGTCTCTCCTGACAATGTCACCAGTGCAAGCCCTGATCATCTCATGCCTAGCCTATTTACAATAGCCTGCCTCAATTCTCTCCCCTCCAATCCATCCTCCATTCAACCATCAAAGCGATTTTCCTAAAGTGCAGATCCAACCATATCATTCTCGTACTCAATAAACTCTTAGTGGCTTTCTACAGCCTCCAGGATCAAATACAAAATTCTCTATTTGGCGCTCAAAGCCCTTCATAATCTAGCTCCCTGCTATCTTTCCAGTGTTCTTACACCTTACTCCCTACCATGTATTCTTCTATCCAGTGACACTGAAATATTCTTCCTCATTATCTCCATCCACTACTTTCCCTGGCTTCTTTTAAGTCTCAACTAAAATCTTATCTTTTATAAGGAAGTCTTTCCCAAACTCTCTTAATTCTGGTGCCCTCCTCCTAATTATTTCCTGTTTATCCTGTATATAGCTTGTTTGCACATATTTGTTTGCTTGTTGTCTCCTCCAGTAGATTGGGAGCTTCTGGAGAGCAGGCACTGTGTTTTGACTCTTTATGGTTCCCCCCTCCAGACTTATCACAGTTTCTGGTTCATAGTAGATGCTCTATGTCTATGGACTATTTCATATTAAGCAGGAAAATGTGATCTTTTTCTTAATGGAAGCCTTACCCTCACACATAATTCAAGAAAATATCACCTGTGGCAGCAAGCTGACAACCATGTGTCTACTTATATTCCATTCCCATTATTGTTAATTATGGAGATTCTACACATGTCTCTAGTAGCAAGAGCAGTGTCAGCAGGCAGCTACTCTTGTCAAGGCCCAAGAAGAAATAATTTCAATAAATACTGTGGAATGGGCCTGTATTCATTTTTCACCTCTATAAGGCAATGGATATGATTTTAGCTGTCAGCACTCAATCTTCAATATAAGTAAATGATGTCTTTTTTCTTCTATGAGAAACACTATGAAAAACTTTGTCTGATAGGAAAATTGGCCCCTTTTCCAAGAGGCATGCAGCAGGTGATTTGGTTACCTTTAATTCAAGACGTGCAGGTATTTTATATTTTCTGTTTGCCAAAAGAGTTCCATAGTGAGTACTGACACTTAGTATGACAGATGCTATTAGCCAGCCACTTGGAAAACTCACCAGAAGCAGGGCAGTATAGTAGATAGTGGAGTAGACCTGCAATCAAGAAGACCTGGGTTTAAATCCTGCCTCCCAATTCACGTGACCCTGGACAAGTCACTTAACTTTGCTTAGCATTTGTTTCCTTATCTGTAAAATGAGGGAA